CATTATTTCATGGATGGTAACAAAATAGACCATATGATGACCTCAGCTGATCTTAAGAATTGAGTAAATTAAAGTTCAAAAGAGTTGAGTGAAGCTTAAAGTAGTGAAGTTGAGTGAAGCTTAAAGCTTAAAATTTTTCCTCACTGGAATAAAAAAAAGGATTTAAAGTTTCATTGTTTCTGACCTTTCTTCATTTACAAAGAGTACCAATAATATGAATTTAGTGGGTTTTGTTCTGTTTTCTCTACATTAGCAAGAAAGACTAACAATTAATTATTTTCAATTAATCATTGAAAACAACAAAAAAATTCCTTGGCTAAGCATTTAATGAAGTTTTAATTTTATTTCCTTTCCCTGTATACACTCAGTGATCTAAACCAAGCCTTTCCCTGGTACACACCTAGGCTTTCTGCTCACTGCTCCTTAGAGTTTGTTTTGAACTGTAAGCAGAAAGATTAACTTGAAAGAAATGCTCAACACTAAGGCTAATGATTTGTATAATGTAACCGCAACTTAAAATATAAAAAATAAAAGCCATGCTCCATCTAGAAGCAGTAAGGTAGATTTCTATCTCTACACACTATTTAGGAAAAGTATTTTATCTGGATAAATAATCATAATTTCCCCCAAATACCTACTTTAGTCAAGAGCTGCACTTGCAAATGAAAGTGTTTTCAAATGTCATATTTGTGGATAGCAAGAACATAAAACTTTATATAAATATTGTAAGAAAAGGCACATGTATAAAATTGTTTCAAAGATTATACATGACCTAGAATTTGAAAAACCATTGAATGGTTCTCCTTCCAGTTCCCAAAGTACTGAGAAATGCCTCTATATTTAAAAACACATTCAAATACATTCAGACAAAAGACAGTTCTTCAGATGTAGGGACATATACAAAAGCTCCTGGAAGTTTCTCCCTTCTGGGGTTATCTGTGAGAAGTCCCTATTTATGAACAAATTCAGATATTAATGTACATTTTCACGTAGAAATTAAGACACCAGTACATGTCAAGCTGTCTGAAAAACAAAAACAGGCTTTCCTAAAAATGACATCTCGAAACACTTTAAGTGAATTATTTTTCAATAACAAGGCAGGAGGAAATCCCAAGTGTTAGGAGATGACAAGAGTGTTAATGCCATTAACATCCTTTCAGCACTGCATGTCAGTGTGTAATTGATGTCCTGCTGCTCAGTCACTCAGAAAGGGGGAAAAAGGTTCCCAGCCATTTCCAGATGCTGAGATCCTGGTCTGGAGTACATTTGTTCCTTCCCCAGTGGCCTGCTCTAAGAGATGCTGCAGTGCAGCTCCTACAAGAGAATCATCAGTTGATGTTTAATGCACATTAAATATCTAAGATTCTCACTGCACAAAAGTCCCCCACACACAAAGCAGACTTCTCTCCAGATCATTTCTGTACAATTGAAGTACATCAAGTAAAGAAATAAACCCCCTCACATTCAGTTGTGAAGCAGTAATCATTATTAGATGGAACTGTGAGCATAAATACATATCAAGTGAGAATACATGCCTTTCAGGAAGGCAGCTTTTTTATTTCATAAAAAGGATTCTGTTTTAATGAATGGTGTTCCTTACAGAAAATTAAAATTAGTTCACAAATTGCTGCTGTTCCATTTAATGATAAGATGAATGCACAGTGCTTTGAATTTTTTTATCTGCATCAATTTTTGCTCTTTCATTCATCATTCCTCTAATTTTGAAATTCTTTAAAAATAAGCTTTTAATTCTTCACATGTATGCAATCAGTTAGAAGAAATGCTAGTTCGAAATGGCAGCATTTATTGCTCTGGTAGGCAAAAAGATTTTAATAAGATTAGGCATTTAGTATCTCTTAATAGGGTAAATGATACAGCTGAAAACCAAAAAAGCCACATAAACTCTTCCTTTAAAGATAAACTAGTAGATCTAGGACACATTATATAAATAAATTAATGTAAGATTGTTTATAAAATATATAATGATCCAAAAGCAATACAGCCAAAATCATGCTCTCCAGGCAGTAGGATAACAAAAAGCATGACTCCAATGGCCAAACACATGCCTTCCTGACTGCTGGATCTGCCTCTTTTCCCTTCTCCTTGGAACAATATTCAGAACTCCTGTCTATTTTCTAGAGGAATAAACTTTTGTCACTGAGTGTGTGTACATTGGAAGGAAGAAAGAAGTGGTATTTATTATTTATGTATTTATAGTTCTATGTCAAGATTAATTAAAAAGTTAACTCTGTACAACTTCCCATTTATTCCCTCTGAAATTGCTTTTCATTCTGTTGTCTTTAATCTTTGTTAATAACATTTACATTTAAACTCCATTAATCTGAATATCTTTCTCAATCTCCAACTAGAAACTTACATCACTAAAAAGAAAATAGTGTATACACCTACAGCAAGTAAAGCTAAAATTCAGAGCTCTGCAGTTTAAAAAAAAAAAAAAATCTTCAATTAGAGGCACAAACACTGAATTGAAATAAGAAGGGAAAGCCAGACCTGGCTTAGTCTGTAATTACTTTTCTAAACTGTTGAATCAGACTCCCCAGTGCTGCATGAGCAGGGCTAATTATAAAAGAAACCTCTCACAGTTAAAGTTGAATTATTTACAAACTGTTCTTCAAGTAAAGTACAGTTCCAGCCATGGATCATAAAAAAGTTGTCTCAGGAATCACACATAAGTTATTCAATATAGCAAGAAAATCACAGAGTATTTTAATCTCCCTTTTTTTTTTTTTGCTTAACCATACTACTTTCTACTTTGTATTACAGCAGAGCTGTAACCCTGAAACACTCAAGCACCAGGAGAGATGCTCAGCCTGAAAGTCTTTAACCTTCTAATCTCAGTATGTGCCACCACCAACAAATCTTTAACCATCTGATGAAACAAAACAAAGACATACTGAAGACCAGGGTGTATTTTTTCACCCTTAAGAACTATTCTTCAACCTAATAAAAAACACAGGAGTGTAGAAAACTTTGAAATACTCGATGATAAGCAGAAACAAATTTGAACATTCGATATAAAGAGAGATGACTTTCTAAAAAAGAAACCCACCACTTATCAGGTCATCTATTAATTATGCAAACATAAATCCTCAGGTAGAATCAGTTCATTTCTTACAGGCTTATCTCTTTTGTCAAGCCACCAAATTTACTAGTTTGATAAAAGCTGTCAGGCACTCACAGTTCCATGTGCCTATTTTAATTACCTAGTGTTGGTAATCTACCTGTGACATCAAGGTACATGCAGTGAAGTTAAGTTGCCCAGGAGACTTGCAACAATAATTTTTAGAAATTTCATAGGACCCTCCTATTTTTGCCAATACAAAGAAGCATTAGTACATTAATTTTTTTTTAAACTCTTTTGCTTTGTCAGACAATCTTCCTTCTATAAGAAATTCAGGTGATAAACTGCGAAAAGGAAAAAGTTAAATATTACCTCTTTGACTCTTTTTCTTCATTAAACTATTAGAGTGATGCCCATTGTTTTTATAAATAAATATACAGGTAGCAAAACAACAAATGGCAAAACATTTAATCAGCACAACTGAAAAATCATTTCTATAGCCTGTAAACCAGAGCCATCAAGCTTAACAAGAAAATACAACTGTGAAGGTGCATTTCAGAATGTTGATTTAATTTCTGAACAGAAGTGGGGCTGAGGTGACAGAGTTCAGCCCACACACGGGGTGACAAGGCAAAGGACAATTACGAGGTAACATTATAAGTTGTTCTGATGTGAATGTATCTCAGGGAAATGAGCTTTTTTTCTAATAGCAGAGCTGATAACTGTGATTACTAGTAGTAAGTCTCTTAACCTTGCAAGTAAGACAAGGTGGAAGAGAATATGTAAGGAATAAGAAACAATTTTCCACTTAGTCAGGAGTTGTCTCCCCTAAGCTACTTTGCTGCAGTCTTGTCAGAAACTTAAAATAAATCCATACAGAGAAAATATTAAATAACTTCTAGTGAAATTCTGTCACTGACTCCATTCAGATGGTAAATCCTCCTAAAACTGACTTTTCAAATGCATGGGAGTTGGGAGAAGCTCTTCGATACATCCACCTGCTAAATGTGATGAGCAGCTGCAAATGGCTCCTTTTTTTTAACCTCCTTTGAAAAACCCACAAAACCAAGATTCTGTCTGGTTGCAGTAAGAAAGAAGAGATGTCAAAAGAACTATCTGAGCTTTTATAAATGCACAAAATGCCTTGGACTTCACCACATTCCAAATGCTTCCATACACGTACACAGAAAGGTGCTTTGGGCAAAAAAAAAAAATAGCTATGAATTTTTCTTCTAAGAAAAAAAGGGCTTCTGTCTAGTCTTTGTTGCAGTTTGGTGAGCTTCTTGTAGCCATAGCACACTTTACTTGTTACTTTATACTTTGGAGCAAAACTAAAGCTGGTTATAGGAAAATTTTGGAGACAAAGCAAGTTAGACCAACATCATATCGTATTCTCCCACAGATTTTAAAAAGGACAAAACACTTTTGAGTGCAAAAAATGTAAATATTTCTCTAAAATTATCTGTTAAAAATGACATTAGAACCATTAACAAAATTATATACATACTCTGCCCTTCAAAAAAACACATGTGAAGCTAAAATAATAAAAATATCAACTTTACTGCTGATATTTTTCTAAAAGTGATTAAATAAATATTATTAAAACGATTCCTTAAGGCAAAAAAAAAAAAAATCTCCATATTACTATCTCTGTGACTGGTCACTATAACCACTTTCTTTCAGAAAGCTCTCTGGTTTCCCCCTTGGAAGTGTGATTATAGATGCTTTAAGTTCTACTCAGTTCTTTCACTTTCTTTCTCACTTTTCTTACATTCAGCACGTTCTCTGATGCTTTTTTTCTCTGCTCTAGAATAAAGGTATGAAAGAAGACACTTAAAACATGTTTTCAAGTGCTGTAAATACTCAACCAGATGATCAGAATGTTCAGTTCACCAATGAGGACGTGCAAAAAGGATATGCTCATCTTCTCTACAAACTTATCGTGTTCATCTTGCGTCTTAGGGAAATTCTGAATATCATTTTCTAGCCGCTGGATCTGCTGGTTCATGGAATCAAGGTTGCTCTTCAGAGTCTGGGCTGAAACTAAGAAAAAAAAAAGAACAATGAGTAAAAAGTTCCCAGATTCCAGAAAGGGTATCAGAAGGGGAAAAAAAACAATGTCAGTATAAATAGTCTTAAAGAGAATTATTCCATTAAGTAGACCCATATTTTCCTGAATTATTGCTCATAAAAATCCTACCCTTCATAAAAATTAAGTGAAAATATCTACTGTAATATACCAGATCATCATATTTAACGTTAAAATGTCACCATTTAATTCTACCATTAGTTCTAATTATTCAATTTCTATTTGAGTGTATGGTAAAAATTCTAATATTTCATTCTTTTAAATCTAATTCAAAGATTAAAAACTAGAGTTCAAAGAGATTTTACCTTATTAATGCATGTACTTGGTTAAATTATTATTAATATGTATTTCTGTTACAGGAATGATTTAAGGAATAGACACGGAAAAAAAATTATTATTTTTCTTACATTGAAATTAAACTGATTTCTAGAAGCCAGAGCTGTGAAACCCTGTGTTAATAAGCAAAGGTATGTCTGAATAATAAAAGCTCCTGATAATCAAACAGAAGGACTCAGAGTGCAGCACACAAAAAAAAAAAACCAAAGAGGCTACTCTAAAGAAACCCTGCTTACTATGTGACAAGCTGTTCTAATGTAAGCCATTAGTTCTGTGATTTGTAATAAACAACCACTAATTGAGACAGCATCTGAGAAATCATGGCAACACAGTGTTGAAGGTAAAGCAATACCACGCACAAAGAAATTCCAGAACAGAAGCAAAAGTGACAGAGTCTCTGCAGAGAAGCTCCTGGTGTAATTTAGTTACAATTAAATTGTAATACTAAAATTAATTGAATGCCTAATATTGAGTTTTGTGCCATAATCCATGAGGTTCACTTATTCTCAGTTTTATCATAAAGAGCAATTTGACAAATGCTTCCTCTTAATTAAAAGACACGTTTCAAAACCAAAGTCTGTCTTCCCTTGTTTCCTCCTGCACAGTTTACAAATCCATGCTTCCCAGCACAAGCAGACAATCCCAACAGCCCTTTCCCCAAGAGCACTGTAACACTTGCACCATTTCACCTCCTTCCTCTAAATCGAATGCTTCAAGTATCCTTTGCTTCAGAGAGAATTTATACTCCACAAACTACTCAATCTTTAGTGACAGCTCATATAATCAGGTCAATTCTTGCAAAGACAGTGTCACAAACAACTTTTGATGTGTGGCACCAGAGGTGAGAACATCCAGCACGTTCCCTGCTCCTCAGTAATGGCCCAGTCAACGCTTCGATCGACTGCAGGCACCTGCCCTCCAGAGCCAAAGCTGAAGGGCTGCATCCAGCTAACCCAGGCATTCTTAGTGCAGCCAAGATCAGCACATAACTTCATTTTTTAAGGGCTTTCTGCTTTTTACTATCTTTTTATGGCAAGTGATTTGTCCAGAAGTTCCACCAAGTGTTTTCTAAAGAACTGTTGATTTTTCTGCTTTCTTGTAGTTTAAAAAAAAAAAAAAAAAATTGTGCTGTGACTATGTGAGATTAAGCAGGAGGAGGAATTTGAGTCAAGATGGTTTGAAAAACAGTATATAGGAAATAAAAATCTGGCAAATAAGGAAGCTGTTCCCAGAACAAAATCAATTCTCTATTCTTTGCAAGTAACGACTCGCATCAGCCATAACATCGATTTCATGAGCACATTCAAATCCTTAAGGCACCAATACAGCTGCCTTTATCACAGCCATTATCTCAATTTTATTTTCAATTTTATCGGTTTTATACTGGGTACCAAAGGGACTATTAATCTTGTAATCTTGAAATTATAGTGAAACAGTTTTTAAGCTTAATTCAACCAGGGAGGGAGGGGTGCAACCTATACTGACCCCAGTATCCTTACAGTTATTAACTTCACATTCAAGAGTTAAACTGGAAATCAACCACTAAAACAGTCTGAATAATAAACATTAGCAAATATTTTAGGTTATGGTTGCATTAGTTTAATCATTTGATATTATGGTCAGAAAGGAGAACACATTTTTGCTTGAAATTAAGAACTTGAATTACTGTAATATTTCTATGAAGTTGGATGGGGACACAAACAACACTGAAGGAAATGCTAGAAGTGCAAAGTAAACGAGGAGAATGCAAATGGTCATTTTGTTCGTAAAAAGAAAAAAATGGTAAGAAAATAGGCAACATAACATGAAGTTTAACTGCTTTCAGCAATTTGAAAATAAAGTAAAAGTTATGTTTTGTCTGAAATTTAAAAGTGCAGTGAAATTCAGCACACAATGACAAATGAGAAGTCTTAACCTCTGTGATTAACATGGGTGGGAAAAGTTTTCAGTAACTCTGTTCTATAAAATTAAGTTCAGAAAACATTAGATTAGGTGCACACTGACTAGGAAAGTAGAAGGGAATTCTACCCAAGCAAGAGGGTTGCATCCTATAGCTGTGCTTCCCATAAGTAACTTCTATATTCACAATCAATTGCCAAAAAAGATGTAGAATATGCAATTTTGTTCACTTTTTTTTTTGCCTAGCCCAGGCAAATGTACAAGTTTCTGTTCAAACAATTTATGAAGTTGTTGTTCTGCAAGACAAACTTAACAAGATGACAGAACAGGAAACATATATATAGACTATAATAAAATATCTGCATTTCCTCCCATAAACCCTTTTATTAGAGATTTACTACTTCAGTAATGTGTAGAAGAGGTAACATGAATTCCTTTTACTTTCAGAGAAAATCATGTAAATTTCTTAAAACTCTTGCAAGGTTTTAATTTATGAAAGCATAAATTCTACTTGCAGCAAAAGCCATTCCTTTAAAATAATTTCAAAAAGTACATACTAAACAGCCTGTCCCACTGTAAGCTGGGTCTCACAAGAAAAAGGTTTGTTCAACTTCAATTTGCCCATCATTCCACATGAAAATTAGGCATCTTAGTAGAACTAGTCTAAAAAATCTACATGAAAGGTAGCATTTGGTCTTCAGTGGCACGCAAATACTGTGCAAGGACTATTACTGGGAAAGCCTCTCTCTAGCAGCCAATCCAATATTATTTCATTTAATGCTGCACCAGAAGAGAGCAACTAACTAAATCCAATACACAAATATCTGATTTCAAGGTAGGAACAATGAGGTGAACACAGAAGATGAGGAAAAAGAAGGAAAAAACCCAACCCAGCAGCAACAACCAGAAAAAAACCTGTCCATAACCCCCAGATACTCTGGGATAAGTACACCCAAAGAAAAGAAAGCAGCCTAGAGGATGCCTGGACGTTTATTTCCTTGTTTTAGAAGAAGAGATAAAATATTAGACACATTTTAAAAGTAAAAGAAACAAATAGCTGTGAACAACCCACCTCATCACCCTCACAATTTTGCAGGTAAATGAACACCCCCATCCACAGTGAAAAGGTCAGCATTTAAGAAATGGGAAAGTTTGAGAAGTCAAAAGACAGTCAAATTAGCTGACACAGGGAAGAGTGGAGAATGATGGTATAAGTGAGTTCAGAAAACGATTATTTGGATTCCTACACAACAGGTTCATAAACATATCAAAAGAAACAGGCAAGGATGTAACACTTAATATGTCTCTGAGAACATGTGCAGGAGGTAGGGGAAACAGCCTGGAGGAAATGTAGTGTTCTCCCCACACCACATGTCTAAAAAAAAACTACATAAACCCCAAATCTATATATGGTCCATCTTCAGAGCCAAAGGGAGTTAAAAAAGGCAGCAAGATTTCTCAGTCTGTACCAAACTCTGCCAAAGTGGCCCCTAGTTGAGCCCTGTGTAAAAGCTGACTTGCAGAGAGCACCTGCAGCTCTAAGGTGGAAAGAAATACAGCATCTTTAATGTGTGTACCTCAAACCACTGTGAAAAAAAGGATTTATGAGACAGAGAAAGAAATCCAATACCAGAAGTTACACATGTGTTTCAGCTTCACTCCTTGTCACACAGAATCACTATAACATACAGAACTAATAGGAATAAGGTGAAGATCAAGTGATGCGTATTAATATATTGTCCAGATTATTTTTCATGTCAGTGGAAGACTAATATAGGCACATAGATCTATCAATATTCTTTCTGCACAAGTACTGGATGAAACTCCGTTAATCATGCATCATTAAATCTGTGACTGATTAAAAGATTATTTTGTATATTATTATTTATTTATAACAGAAATCCACAGTCACTGAAGAGATGGCTCAATGTTATTTTGACAAGAAAGGTGATAATAATTTCCTTCACTTTATTATTTTCCCCATATTAATTCCTCCTCTACAAAAAAAACCAATTCTATCCACTTATTTTGGAGAAAGCAGTTGCACAGTCTGCACGCTAAGGAAGGCTTAGAGAGCGTCTGCTTTAGTCCTAGAAAAATGCTCCAAGCAGTTAATCTCCTGTTGATGTTGAACACTAGCTGGTCCCTGTAGTCAAGTTAAGCATTTTGTATTTACAATAATACAGCAACAGTACCAGAGGACAGACTAATCCTTTCTAAAATAAGATTGCATCAGACTAAGAGTCCTCCCCAAAAAAGAGCTGAAATGATACGTTTTGATTAGGTGCAGTATTTCTCTCATAAGAAATTTAGAGGGTCTCTGATCATGATGCAGAACTGGGATGGCCATGTCCATGGTTAGCAAAAACTCTAAAGTGAGAGCCAACAATATAAATTACTTCAGTAAGCAAAAGCAAGTCAGTACAAAGCAAATGAACTCGTGGATTTTTAAGTCTAGACAGTGTTTGTACCATAACTGCATTCTGAGCATACTAATGACTATTTATTTCTTACTGCCTGAGGGCAGATGGAAGTAGTCTTTCACAAAAGACTGAGAAGCAGTTTGAGGGGAAATGGGTGAGCAAGTACATAATCTTCAGGAATTACAATCATTGATTACTCAATTCATACTAAGTAAGTTTCTATTTATTAAGACAATAAATGTTCTGTTGGAGTTGGGTGAGCAGTGCTGCTGCAGCCTAATTGAGGACTGGAAGCA